TGATATGCAAGTACATTGATAAATTGAACATACTCTGCTAGAACAATCAGGTGCACCTAATATGAATTCTGGGACATGCTGACATCCAAGACAATGAAATGGCAGACAAACTTGCAAGAAGAGGTGCGAGAGGCCTATCAAGAATGATAAGCCCAAAACCATTCTGTGGCCTAGGAATTCAATCCAACTCAGACTGCAGATACTGTAGAGAAGAGAAAGAAGCTGCATACCATGTGCTTAGGGTGTGCCCGGCATTGATAGGCAAGCGGAAGAAACACGTAGGAGGGTATTTAATGGATCATAAGGATTCAAGACTAGGAAAGATAAGTTCTATACTGTCCTTCATTAAATAATTCGATCTTGGAGAAACACTCTAATCCGACTAAGGGGCACAATAGATCTTTTAGGTCGCAGTGCACGATCCCTTCTTTTCAATAATTTGTATGATCGAAGAAATCTGTAGCAGAAATAAGGTTTTTAGTTTTTTTTTGTAGCACACAAAGCGCACTTTTATTATTCCCCTCGTACATAAAGAACGATTGCATTATGATTCATCGATTTATTACTAGGGGTTTTTCTTTGTGCATTATTTATAAACAAGTTATTAAGCAACGTCATACATACAAAGAAATTCTTAAAAGAATATTTGTGGAGAGTTATTATTTCTTCAATAATTATTAAATTGTAATAAAATCTATTCATGGATTTATATGTCTACATATGTATATATTCTCGTATATTTATATATTGGAGAAAAAGCACTATCTATTCAATAAGCATCTTTATGGGAGGCGTCTTATTTCTAACCACAGTTTTCCCAATTCCAGTTCCGAACTATATACATATACACCAATATATACGAAGACAGGTATATAGTCATACATATGTATACTTCTATTAAAAGAATGCGTTAAGTGATGCCCATAACACTTTCTTTGACAAATATTATTAAATTATTAAGCAATTTTCCCAATCACGTTTACTAGGAATGAGTTTAATGTTTACCGGCTAAAACTGCTAGTCTGAATTGGTTTGGGTTTTTACTTCGGGCGCGTCATCTTGCAGCTGGTAAATTCGTGACGTATGCCTTGAAGAATTCTCTCCCGTTGAGAACATACTAAGTAATTTTTATTTGAAAGAATTGCTGTGTTTATTTCACGCATGTGTTGGCGATAAAATTTAAAATAAATTGTAAAAACATTTAATAATCTTCATTACTCATTCAAAGTTACCCGACAAGCTTCAATGAAAAATATTACTGATTCGAGTAGTTCAATAAGTTCAGGTTCTCTCGACTCTCGACTACGTCAACATAAACAAGAAACTGATATGAAGATTAGGTGTTATTTTTTCTTTAAATAAAAAATTTTAAATGTAAAATTTTAATTTTTTAAAAATTTTATAATAATAGAAACGCTAAATGCTTAGTATTCCCCTCTCAAAAATGTCCACAATAACATTAGTAATTATTAAAAGACAACTGTATATTAGAATTTTAAAATATTAAAGGACAAATTTCACAATCCTAACTTAAGTCTCAATACTAACGCAAGCCAAACTTAAGTCCTCCATCAACTTTGCTGGATTAATTCATACTTAAATCAGTTTTGACCCTAAGACATTTAGACCAAATACATAAGTCTAAGTATACAGAGTATACTTGGTTACTTACTTAGTTGACCATCATAGACGTAAGTCATCCGTGGCTGCGTCCAGTTGACTTTGCCTGACAGACCGATCAGTGACATGCTGTCGGTAGTCGATAGAACTGAAACCCCCAAATCGTTGATCACCTAATCTCCCTTAAAGAATCAATACAGTGTCCATGATCACTGACACCTGGATCCCGTGGTATTAAATTCCACTTCTTATAGGTTATCTCAAATGAAAACCCACTTACTATCAATTCCACTCCTAAATAGCGCAGGGTGGTACCTAACAAAATTTAGCCAACCACAATCATCACAACACTCCCTTAAAAAGCCAATCCACTGTCTAGAACAAGCAAAGTTGGAGAAAACTTAATCCCGTAGTACTAGATTTTATGTTTGTTGTGGAGTCACAAGTACCACCTTTTCACCTTTTTAGTCATCTTTCAATCCAGTGATTCCTTGATTTGGAAATGTTTTAATCTCTATCCCGAAAAGTGATAATAAATCGGATAGAGGCAGAATAGTTTTTCCACATTCAAACAAATAACAAAAAGAAATTAAAATTTGACAGAAAGCACCAATAAGACTTCAACCCGTATTTTTAGTGGGTTTTAGAAATGATTTGTAATGTCACAGCACATTCACATCCATTGCGCTATAAATGCTTTAACGATATTTTAAAAAAATTTTGACTCAGCGAAAGACATTTGGAAAAGATAAGAAACTACTTATAACGTCGGACTTGTTAAAAGTCTAAGTCTTGAGAGAGTGTGTAAATGCACATAAATTCTTCCATGGTGTTGTCTTTCTCAAAACCTAAAACAATAAAGATATTGCGTAAAAGTGGGATGATCAATTGATAATCTATAGTCCAACATAAAGTCATATGAAAACCCATAACTGTTTTACTGATTTCAAGAAATACCAATTTCGACTGCTTGCAGCCATTGTTGTTTGGTTATGGTTTACAAGGTAACGTATTAGAACCGATTCTTCCAGTCTTACGTCATTTCCTAATTAACCAAAATGACTACAAACCCAAAATAACTAAAGGGCAAATCGTTGTAAATGTTGCCAGCCCAATTAGGAAATTATATTTGCTTGCATGATTTTGAAACCTATAGAAAACCCCCTTAAAACTTATATTGTATTACTACTTGTTTCATTTAGGAAGTTTTGCGCATTAACGGCGCTAACAAAGAGCTTTCATATAAATGAGTTTATTATATATAAATCAACTGATTTAAGGCGAAAAATGTCGAACCCTAAAATTACATTTCTTACTTGGGAAATCATTAAAATTTGAAATATTAGTCATATATTTTATATATAAAATTTAAACAAACAAGTTATTTCAAATGCATAAATCTATTAAATCTATAAATAAGATAAATCTATCTTATCATTACCATAAGTAATTTTAGCTTCAGTGGAAACATGATATTAACATTAAAATCAAAAATTTTAGTAACCATTGCACTCAATTTTAAGATATCTTTTGGACTCCATATTAACCTGAAGTTTTGTTATTCTCTCATATTAATGCTTAGTCTGCCAAGCAGTGAATGAGACTATATGTTGAGTTAGATGTTTAGTTCCGAAATTTGTTTTTGTATTAGTATATCAAGTTATATATAATCATAACTTAGTGACATCAGCTTAATAATATGGATTTATATTTGATCGAATTCGCTATTGGCGCGACACTTTGTGTAATCACCAGACGAGGTTAATTTTTCGTTCTTAAAACTACGAAAATACACACCTCCTAACTAGAACAGTTATGACGTAAATAGCAGGTTATCTGACTAGTTACCATATCAACAAAATGTGTTCGTTTGTGAAGACAGAATGTCTGTTCTGCTTGGACGCAAATAATTTGTGAAGTCAAATTCATTGTAACTGTCTTAGCTAAGTATGGGCTTATACCAAAATGTTGGGTAAGGAGGCATGTCATATCCCTGTTTTATATTTTGAAAATTTACAACCGATTTATTGATTTCCATTTGAAAGGTTGAATGTGATCGGTTCAATTAGTGTTCCATTTCATTGAAAAGTGAGTACTCTATTTTCTTCAATTCCACTTAATAATTTGGAGGATATAAACAAATATATTGATTAAAATTGCTTGTACGGTAACGTCTCATGTCTGCAGTATAAGACTGTATATTGGGAAAGTTTAGCAAACTAAATTAATTACATATCAGAAATATAGATTTCACTATATTTATGTAGTGCTAGTAATAACTTTTGTCTTAATTGTCAATTAGTTTGTACGTACAAGTTTAAGTTTAATTTTTATAAAATAATTTGGAATAATTATGTTACTTGATTTCCTGTTCGTATATATTACTAATGGGGTTTCTCCATTCTATGGAACATGTGTTCTAACAGTAAACCACTGTTAGAGAAAAAAATATTATGAGGTTGTTTTCAGATTTTAATAATACAAAAGACAGCCAGCGTTGGTGAAGGACAGACAGCATAAGTAAATTTAAAGAAAAAATTAGTATAAATGTATTCATCCGATGACTGATGATAATTTAATATGCTCATTATCAGTATTTTGTATTTATTTAAAAATAAAAAAAAAAGCTATAACTTGATTTCATTTAATAAAATCACTTTTAGCAATCACACTGTTTCATTTAGGTGGTTTTGCTCATTATAACCACAAATGAGGATGAGTAAAAATCTTTCATTTAAATGAGTTCAATATAAATAAATCAGATCATTTAAGGTGGAAAATGTCGAATGCAACCCTTAAAAATATATAAGATGAGTATAAATGATTTAATAAATCAATTATATATTTAATTTTTTTATGTGATATATTTAGTATTAAATAAAGTATATTATAGTTTATAAAAATTCTATCAGCTGCATAAATGAGCTCATTATAATGTGAACGTTTTCTCATTAATATAAAAGAGAAAGTGCCAAAATGAGATGGACAGTGTGAATATATTTTTATGGCAGTATGCGGGTTCGTGTAAATTGAGGGATATATGTCGGTATGACCGCGAATGTTGGTATTTATCACAATTTTGAGTAGAGTAAATTAGATAAAAATTAGGTAAATTATGCATTACCATTGTAAACATTTTATAAGATGTTTAATAAATAAATAAATAAATTTGAAAACTTTTAACCAAAAATCAAAAATTAGTGGAATAAATAAATATTTACATTAGTGCCTTGCAAAAAATCTCTAGGAAATTTTAATTTAGTCTCAATTTACTCGAACTCGCACACGACCATCGTAGACAATTTTTAAATATTTTAGTGTAGATACTTTGTGCTTTTAACGTAACGTTTTTCAACACTGAAATTAAAACGAATGAATAGACAGCGACAAGGAATATAGTTAAGCAAACAAAGAGGTTTGTTTTTATTTTTGTACTTAATTTTAATTTTCGTAGTATAAGTTAATTGAGCGTATTTCGAAAAAAAAGAAGAGTTAGATTTAATATAAATGTAAATAAAAAAACTCTTCACACATGATACATTAAATGGCAACAGCGGAGTTGCTTCAACTGCTACCGGTTGCCAGCTGTCAAAAAAACGATAATAGCAAAATAAAAACAATTCCCAGACATGCTGAAGCACAAATAAATTACAATGATTTCTACTGGAATTACATGGATGCAAACTGTCCGGTGGTGTTAACTGGTGTTTCAGAAAATTGGGAATGCCGAAAAAAATGGACCTTTAGTTCGAACAAGAATAGCGCTCCGACAAGTAACGAAAACAACACCACATATACTGCTATAAATTTTGACTACCTCAAAGATAAACTTTCTGACTGCCGTGTTCCAGTAGCTGACTGTTCCAGAGAATACTTTAATAGTCATGTCAAAAAAGAAATGCAATTTTGTGAATTTCTCGATTATTGGCAGGCCCAAGTCAATGCATACTCTTCAACTGTAAACAAAATTAATGACAACCCCTCCAATTTAAAAACCACCGATAATCTCTACCTCAAAGATTGGCACTTAAAAGCCCAGCTGGCAGACTACAACTTTTATACAGTTCCTAAACACTTTGCATCTGATTGGTTAAACGAATATCTAATAATAAATGGAAAAGATGATTACCGATTTGTGTACATGGGACCGAAAGGTTCATGGTAAATATAATATATGTCATATTTAAAATGTTAAAAAATAAAATAAAATTTTTTATATCTTTATAGGACTCCCTTTCATGCTGACGTCTTTGGTTCGTATAGTTGGTCGACGAATATAGCTGGCTGTAAAAAATGGTTAATGTTACCGCCAAATGAAGAACTGAAACTTGCTGATCGGTTTGGAAATTTGCCCTTTTGCATTGATGAGCAAATACTAAAAGAAAATAATGTAGTTTTCTACACAGTAATGCAGGAAGAAAACGAAGCATTATTTGTGCCAAGCGGTTGGTATCATCAGGTTTGCAACCTTACCGATACTATCTCAATCAATCATAACTGGTTTAACGCTTGTAATGTGCAACGCATTTGGCGTAATTTAACAACAAATATGAAGCAAGTCATACAAGAAATTGCGGATTGTCGACAAATGGACAATTTTGACGAACACTGCCAAACAATGTTGCGTGCCAGTTTTGGTATCAACTACCTCGATTTTTTAGATATAATAGAATTCATTGCTGAACGTCGATTGAGCTCGAACTCAAATGGTAATAATTGCAATGTTGCGACTGAAAAGTCTTCCAATTTTGTAATTTTTGATACATTTACACTAAATGAATTTCATATCCGAAACGATCTGGAATGCTTATGGAAACTTCTTGAGATTATGATACAAGACAAAGTCATATGTGACAGTCGCAATTTATTATATCGTAGATGTTTAAGACTATTGGAACTAATGAAGGGATTTTAAAAACTTTATATGTATTTTAAATTTAATATTTTTGCGAAATGTTTGTGAAATGAAAAGCTATACCAAATATTAATGATATAAACCGTTTTATCAAATAAACACGAAGTGCTATTGTGCTTACTTTAATTTATGCATTGCGAGGAAAAAAGGTTTATTGTGGCATTAAATTGCTACATATTAAAGTTCTAGTCAATAAACGTATTATGAATTTAATTCAGGTATTACTATAGATGTATACTTGTATAAAGGCATTTATAACCTCCATTGCCTTCAACACATTATTCGAACTTGTTTGAACGATTCTCCAATTTATGGATTTATTTTATTTTCTGATTTTTTTGAAGTTCTGAAAAACACCATTACGGAAAAATATTACGGGAGTTATTTCCTCCTCGAGCAATGCAAATGTTTTTCCTGTCAAAATTGCTCGAGATGTAAAAAGAAAGGCGGAAATCGAAAGGCACTAAATCTGTTGAATAGATCAGTAGTTGTAGCAATTCGTACTTTAATTTATGGATTTTAGTTATGGTTTTGTGATATGTGTATGCAGCTGAATTTTCTTGAAAAAGATTGATTATTTTCTATTTTATAATTGGGTTCTCTTTTGTAAGGTATTTTTCTCACTCCATTTGTCTAAATAATTGCAATAATATTCTGAGTTTATTTTAATAATAAACTAATTTAAAGGCAATCAATTAATAAAATTCCATTATTATCTCAAAACACTAACACTGACACTGACCTTCTTGGTCGATTTCTGGAGGCGAAGACATTTCGGTGGCGATGAGTCCGGTTCACAACACACTTTAGATTCTTGTTTTGATTCAGGATCTTGGCGTGCATCTATCTTATATATACTTATATGTTTATTGCGACTTATATTGTCAAAAATTATGTTTAGTTTTATTCCGGATTATTTACACTTGAACGTAATCGGAACCTTACTATATTACCTACAAAAAACAAACAATTTAGTTTTGTTAATTTTACAATTAGATAATCACAATATTAATAAGTATTTTGCTAATTTTCCTTAAATATTACATTGAAATAAATATTCATTTAGATTAAATGTAATTGGGATGTGATAATATTTCTAACTAAATGTTGTATGAAGCCGATTCACATTGCTTATGCCAATCATGAGCCGCTGTACATAAATATATTTGTTATTAATTTATTCTCTTTGTGTGCTCGTACGATAATAATTAAACTTCTTCAAGCTTTTCGAATAGGAATTTGCACCGCCGCTACTTGTTATCATTTAATATTTGTTTTTAAGGAAAGCAATAGAGCAAAGGGCAGAACATATAACTTAATAAGTCACACTAATGGCGTTGAAAGGAATAAGAGTATTGGAATTAACCGGCCTGGCACCAGGACCGTTCTGTGGTAAGGTTTTAGCCGATTTTGGTGCAACTGTAACACGTATTGACAGAGTAAATAGCTTTTAAAATATAACTAAATATTTATATATATGGTTTTTTTTATTATTGCATTGTAGGTGGTAGAGAATCATACAGATGTCATGCAACATGGCAAAAGGACTTTAGCACTTGATTTAAAACAACCCAAAGCCCAACAGCTTCTGCAAAATATAGTCGGCAGTTATGATGTGCTAATTGAACCATATCGTCCCGGCACAATGGAGAAATTGAAATTAGGTCCAGATTCCCTGTGCAAGATGCACCCAAAATTAATTTATGCACGTTTAACTGGCTTCGGTCAAACAGGTCGATTAGCAAAACGTGCTGGTCATGATATCAACTATGCAGCCATATCTGGTGTACTCTCAATGTTGGGACGTTATGGTGAAAAACCAACACCTCCTATAAATATTTTGGCCGATTTTGCAGGTGGTTCACTTATGTGCGCTTTTGGTATTTTGTTGGCATTATTAGAGCGTCATCATTCAGGGAAAGGTCAAATTGTCGATGCTGCTATGATTGATGGTGCAGCTTATGTGGCAAGTTGGCTATTTATGTCACGTACTTTACCCATCTGGCTTGGCAAACGTGGTGAAAATATGTTAGACGGCGGAGTCTACTTTTATGACACATATGAAACTAAAGATGGGAAATTTATGTCAGTTGGTGCTCTGGAACCACAATTTTTTGAAATATTCAAAACACGTATTGGACTACCAGATTTAACACAAATCATGACTGATGAAGCTGAAATTAAAGATGTTAAGTCTAAGATCCGAGAGGTGTTTTTGCAAAAAACTCAAGCAGAATGGTCCGATATTTTTGAAGATTTTGATGCTTGTGTTTATCCAGTAGTTGAATGGGAAGATGTGATGAAACACGATCACAATAAGGAACGTGAAAGTTTTCAAATTATTGATAATACTATAGTACCGAAGCCAGCTCCACGTCTTAGTAGAACGCCGGGAAATGTGGATCCAAATTTCGATATAAAACAACAGTTTTCCACAGTTCTTAAAGAATTAAATTTAAGTAAAACAGAATTGCAAAAATTGATAGATGAGAAAATACTATTTTTACCACAGCATACAGCTAAACTTTAACATCAATAAATTATGAATCTTTATATATGCAATAATATATAATATTAGAATGAGCAAAAGTTAACGATTTTTAATAATCCTAGAATGTTTGGTTTAGGTAAAGCATTAAGTTTTGAACTATATGTATTACTTTATAAATATATATTACTCTTGTTCCACTGTATATTCTACTTAGACACAATCAACTGTAACTAATCTATATATATCTTATGATAGAATATAGTATAATATGTTTATATATTATATTATATCTATAATATATTTATTTATAATAATATATCTATAATATATTTATATATTATAATATATCCAAATAAATATATTTGTATTTATATTATAGATGCCGCAATTGTCTTTTCTAGAATGACAAAAAAGAGGCCATTGCCTTTATGTTAATTGGACAAATTATTTTGTATTGGAACTTTTTTTATATGAAAACAATATTTCGGTGTATTAGCTTTATTTTTAATTTTTTTATAAACTGTTTTATTTATTTTTGTTATAATTTATATATATATATATAATATAATATATGTTAATATTTTTAATATATAAGAATTCATATAATATATTAATACACATATAATATATATATTTATTATATATACATATATGAATATTTATATATTATATATACATATATGAATATATATATATTATATATACATATATGAGTATATACATATAATATATTAATACATAATTTATAATATACTCGGGTTTAGAATGTCTATACTTAAATAAATTAAATTGTATATTTATACTTTTTTAAACAAATCTTTTTATTAAACACAAAAAGTTGAAATATTATATAAATTGATATTTATGTTTATATAACGCTTAATGTTATTGGCTATATAATATAAAATATCCCAAAATTTTCAACACGTCTGACCTTTGACATTTCAAAGTGTGTTTTAACCCAGAATGAATCACTAACAAAGTATGCCTTATAACTACAAATGATTGCTCTTCCAATCATTTTCCGATCTTTCTCTTCCAAGTATCTGATCTCTTTCTCTTTTATATAAGTAGATATAAAAGTAAAAAGTGGCCATCACACAGTTTTTACCCTTGATTTGCCAAAATTATGTCTAGTGTACAATTTCGCTTCAGTAAATAGTAATGTCAAAAACTAAGTTGAACATTTCTGTAATACTGGATACAATTAAGCTATATGCGCTAACTCCTGTATTCTGTATGTTTTTGGGGTATAATGAGTATCGTTTTATACTGACTACATTTGAAATGCATATAAACCTTATGGGGGTAATGCCTCCTCACAAGCGTCACACTAATATCATTAATGAGTATTTTACATTGCTTGATATACTTTAAAGATGGCGTGTAAGTAAACCTTTACTTCAAAGATCTTGAAATCAGAACAAAACCGTTACCCAAAAAAAAAAAAATAATATTATTGCTGAGAGTGAATAACAGAACCGAATCGGAAAATATATATCGATTTCTTTCATTACCTGCTTATTACAATCATTGTTCTAAAAAAATGAACCGATGTGCATTTTTTTCTTCATTGAACTATAAAGAAAATCGGTTTATATTTGGAGTTAGAGCGAAAACTGGAATTAAACCGAAATAAATGTACCAGTTTCTTTCGGTTCAGTACCTCACACTTAGGTATCTACTCAATACCTTTATTACTTTGAAGGTATTAACCCTTCAATGAATAAAATTTAGAATCAAATTGACAATTTGCTTTCTCAGAAGAATGAAAAATGTAAATAGTTAAACGAATTCGAATAGCAAAGAAAAGACAAGCACAAAAATTTATTTAATTTATTGAAATTTGGCTGACCATACAACGCTGTTTCGAGTATTGCCAAGTACTCATCATCAGTAGTCTTAGGAAATATTCGATTTTCCTGATTAGTTTATAATCCGTATATAATTTGTTTGGACTGTAAGTGCCAGGCTTAGAACTCGTGTCTATCAAATTAGAATGGTTAGCCTAGGCTGCACAAACTACTTATTTTTATCAAAGCGAAATTCGGAACCAAACCAATGTTATATATTATAGTATACAGTGGCGTAACTTCATTTTTTAGGCCTGTAAGCAAATTCTAACTAAGGGGCCCCTACCAACATACTAAGGGGCCCCTCTTTTTATACTCTTTACACGAAAAAATGTGGAAAGGATATATAAGGTTTGTCAAGATTTTCGTAACGAATTAAAGGAAACGTCGGAAATACCATTAAGTATATATCAGTACAATATATATATACTTTTTTAGTTCAAACTACTCTCTCAGCTTTTGAACTCTTCGAATGAAACTTTACACACATACTTTTCGGGAGCCAACCCTCTTCACCATTTGATTTGATTGAAATTAGATGTCTATTTCTTGTAGCTGTGATATAAACTTAACAATCGGATATGAGGTTTCTCCGTTTTTAATAAAGGTATTCAAATGAAATTTGGTGTATACAGTACTGATATTTGCAAAAGACAACGTACAAAATTATTTTCAAATGGGTTTAAATCTAAATATAGCTTCCATATAAGTCTCTCGATTAAGACACATATTTTTCTTAGAAAAACTTTTTTATTTTATAAATAGGTTTAATATTTTATTTGAAGTACATACATATTATGTACTTTAAATTTAAAATTAACGTATCTTTTAAAAAATGCAATATGAAGTTATTTCAACAAAAACGTTTCGTCCCACTTTTGAGAATTTATTAAAAATAAATACAATGAATACAAAAATTTATAGTGGGGCCCCCTAAATTCGGGGGCCCGAAAGCGTTGCTTCCAGTTGCTTCCCTGTAGTTACGCCACTGATAGTATATATTTATAATTGAACCTTAACGAAAATCTGTTTATATTTTCAATTCGTTTCGTTCGGAATATATATTGCACCGGAACCCTTACGCAAATTGCTATATTCTTCTTAATTGAATCAATGTTAAATTATAAGACAATACAAACCTCAAGCTAAACATTTTCGATTTGGAAACGTGTCATATATATATGTATAATAATTTATTTGGGACGTTGCACCCTTTAGTAATTTGCAGATGATTATTTTTATATAATTTATTTTGTATATGGAAAGAGTTTCTGGTTTTTATTCTTATGACAGTAGTCGTAGTTGTGAACGGCGGTTGAATAGCGATGGTAGGGTTAAAATTTCAAAATTTCAGTAGACAAATGACATTTATTTTGTATGTCATTGGACACCCATGTGTATATAAATTGTCTAAGGTTTAGACAGCCATATGATAATCTGGTTGGAGTACCGAATGAACAGCGATGGTAGGGTCAAAATTTCAAAATTTCAGTAGACAATAAACATTTATTTCGTATGCCATTGGACACCCATGTGTATATAAATTGTCTAAGATTTACACAGCCATATGATAATCTGGTTGGAGTACCGAATGAAAAACGATGGTAGGGTTTAAATTTCAAAAATTCAGTAGACAATAGACATTTATTTTGTATGTCATTGGGCACCCATGTATATATAAATTGTCTAAGATTTAAAAGCCATATGATATCCTTAATTAAATAAAAACATATTTGCGTCAAAAGAAAAAAATTTATTTCACACACAAAGTCGTACAAACTATCAGTCATACAAAATTATAATTTTGTTTAAATTTCATATTATTTTTCTATTTTAATTAACATTAGTATATTTTTTGTTTTTAATACAAATAGTGTTCTATTACATTTAATTACATTTATTAAAATAAAATACCGTTTTATGACAATTTTTTTTTTAAAAAAGATTACAATGTTCTCAATGGTATTTATAATTTTGATATATCAATTTTAACAATTTATTTGGTTTTTAATTATTTTATTAATAAATTTTATTGCTTTTCTGTATGGCGAGTTCATAACGGAAATTAATTTGTCTTTTTATAGAATAAGTTTTTTTTTTTTAACAACAAATGCAAAATCATATCAAATATTTTTTTTTTTGAAACTTCATATGTTTTGATTTCTTCTAAGAAATCTGTTGATTGTTGTATGCATTCATAATTACTTCGATCAAAAAATCACACGAACACACATACATACACATTCACACAAACGTTTTGGCTCAATTACACTTTGATCTAATTGAATCGCATTTATTTCACTTAAGTGTTTACAGTATTCTCATACAAAATGTTTAACATAAAATGAGTGTATATAGTAACACACTCCTCACATATACCGCTGAGAAAGGTATGAACCATTACTTCTTGTTCATTACATTACATTACATGCATTACAATAACATATTCATGTACATATATTAAACACCCAGCGGCGATTTGAAGCATTACTGATATGCACCACTGGGTGGTAATGTGTTCAAACAATATATCTTTTACAATCAATCAAACAATCATAAAGCTGTTCGTTCAGTTCACATATCTTATTCAATATTTCAATATTTCATAATTTCATAATTTCAACATTATAATTATTTATAATGTTTACATCGTCTCGTATTCATTTAATTAATTTGTCTAACATACATTACAATTTTTTACATTAAAGAAAGTTTCTTGCATTACTTTCGGTTTCAATTACCTTTGTTCATTACTATTAAAAATATGCACGCAAATAAGTTAAAATGTGTAAAGTACTACATAGAATAGCATGGAGAACATGCAATCAATTTAACAATTAAACAATTAAACAAATTTAAATTAAAAATAATACATTTCGTTTTTATAAACAATTTTAAGATGTGTATGTTTCCCTATAAAGTACATAGTTGCGATAAAGTATTTTCATTATAAATCGTGTAAAAAGTGTTACATTTCTAATTTGATTTATTTTTTTTTTTTTTGTTTACTTATATAAAATGATTCTTAATACATAAGTTCACAAGAAACTTTCTTACATATAGATCTATATACACACAATATATACATATATAAATGTATATACATATATTTATAATCACAGACACATTTCAATTCTATCAATCAGACGTATTGTTAATATTAATATTTTTATTTTAATAATTATGTTAAAATCTAATTTTAAAATTCGTTCATACTAATTTACACATCAATCTTATATATATATATATATATATATATATAAATAGTTTTAAGTAACTACGTTGTAGATAAAAATTAAAATTTTGGACTCGTACTCAAAAATTTCATACTCGTGGAATGATGACTC